ACTTAACCCCAACAAGCTTCACTCCACTCTCCTTAGAACATCAAGGAATCAGTTCTTACTGAAAGTTTACTTGTTGCAGCCTGTAACTATGACTTCAGCTTCTGAGCAAATGTGATGAAGAAATTAGCATTTTCCCCACATACTAGCTATAGTCAACATTTCCAGGGGTATTCAAAGAGAACCCAGGTTGTTTAATATATAAATCTAATTGCCAGCATTGACTTGCTTCTCATTGGAAAGTCTAGGAATCCATGCATACTCAGTAATGCAAATCCTTGCGAGCTGTCATAATTCCATTTGTCCCCCTTATCACCAGCAATGTCTCCCAGAAGGCAAGCAGTTGCCTATGGCAATGATCTAAGCTGTGAATTAGATGTTTGGCACATGATAGTTTGTCTGATCCATCTTGTCTGTCAGTTCTGTGAAGGTATTTTCTGTCTCGTTAGGGTCTTCCTGCCCTTTGCTTATGTTTCTGTTCCATGATGATGGTCATTAATTTTATAATGGTCTCTGTCCCACAGTGTTGGTCCCAACCATGGTAACAGGCCACCAGTCTCAGGAGCATTGCTCTATGCCAGAGGTTTTCTGAGTCATGGCCACTAGAGGACACCCTTACACCACTTAAAGGCCAAAGGTTGCCAGTGGCATTCCCTTAGTTCCTGAGCTGTTTTCTGAGGGCCTGACCAACAAAGCACCTTCTGCTTTGGAGAGGCCAGGATGATGCCAAAAAAATGACCAAAGCTTTTGGAGCTGCTTCCCTTGGCCACCTTTGAGCCACAGAGTGATGAAACCAAAGCATCCTCCTCTATCCCCACTGCCAAAATCACTCCAAATAAACACATATTTCTAAACGTGGTTTGATAACACAGTTTCAAGTAAATCTACTAGGGCCCACTCCCCTTCCAATCAGATTATAATCTACAAACCCTCTATACAGAAATTTTGGAGCTGCTGTTGCCCAGAAGAAACCCTAGCTCAGGACCTGACAAGCAAAATGAGGTTCTTGGAGCTTTCCTTCCAGGGAAAGGGTGATACTTATAAGAGAACCTGGACTTTCCACATGATACTAGAATTCTGGACAGGAAAGTGAGGGACTCTTGCCAAATTCTGGAGGTTAGAGAAGTGAGAGGTACAAGATAGGATCCTGTCCAATGGTCCCAGTAAAATTGTTTTGTTGATTGAAAGTGCAAGGGATAGACAGAGGTAATGGTTAGCTGAGAATGGGAGCCCCAGATTTAGATCTAAAAATTCAGCTGGAGGGAAAACATAGTTTGGGTCCCCTTACAACAGAACATGTGGCAAAGACTTGGGGTAAAATAGTTTACATGTGAGGTGATCTGCATTCGATCCCTATGGTTACCATAATAAGTACAACAGTTCACCCTTATCCATGCGGGATGCATTTCAAGACCTCCAGTGGATACCTGAAGCCATGGATGGTACCAAACTCTATATATACTGTGTTTTTTCCTAAACATACATACCTATGATAAGGTTTACTTTATAAATTAGGCACAGTAAGAGATTAACAACTAATATAAAACAGAACAATTATAACAATATACTGTAATAAAAGTTATGTGGATGTAGTGTCTCTCTCCCTCTCTCTCTCCCCTGCTTCTCAAAATATCTTACTGTACTGTACTGCATGTAACTGAAACTGCAGAAAGCAAAATCATGGATAAAACCATGAATAAGAGAGGGCTGTTGTATCATAAACTTGGTGGCGTAAGACAACAGAAATCTATTTTTTCACAGTCTTGGAGGCTGGAAGTCTGAGATTAAGGAAGGGTCTTTGATACTGCCCCCAAAGCCTTTATATTTTATTTTTTTATTTTATTTTTTTATTTATTTTTTTTATTTTTTTGAGACGGAGTTTTACTCTTGTTGCCCAGGCTGGAGTGCAATGGCACAATCTCAGCTCACCACAACCTCTGCCTCCTGGGTTCAAGCGATTCTCCTGGCTCAGCCCCCCCGAGTAGCTGGGATTACAGGCGTGCGCCACCACGCCCAGCTAATTTTTTTGTATTTTTAGTAGGGATGGGGTTTCTCCATGTTGGTCAGGCTGGTCTCGAACTCCCAACCTCAGGTGATCCGCCCGCTTCAGCCTCCCGAAGTGCTGGGATTACAGGCACAAGCCACTGCGCCCGGCCAGGACTCCAACATATCTTTTGAGGGGGACAAAACTAACCCATAATATGATCTTAGAAGCAAAAGCAAATGGAGACAAGGATGGGAAGAACTTAATGCAACCAAAGGTATTAAGCTGGTTATTTCTGCAGCAACAGGGACTCAGTCCCGCTGAGGAACCTCCAAGGAACCATGTGACATACCCCTCAGAATTCTCCCACTGAGGGACTGGAAGGCTGGGGCATTTAGCCAGTTATCCCACTGGCTGAAGAATTCTCCTAGGAGGCTGGCTAACTTCCTCATACTTACAGGCTACAACAACAGCAGGTCTGCATCCTTCCCTCGCTAATTAGGAGAGCTTGAGGTGGATGTGAGCCCTGCGTGCGGGGCTGTCTGCCGCCATGGTGCTGAAATCAAGGAGGCACCCCCAGTGTTAGAGAGGGTACCCTCCTTACACTGCTCAGATCTGCTCCTCCCCCTTAGCAAGTCCACGTTATCACCGACTCTTTAAGTGGACTCTTTATGAGTATGCAAGCTCTTAGAAAAAGAAAAGGGACTTTCAAGAGTAGAATTAGTGGAATAAACTATAGCCCCCTGTGGCAGCTGGTCCTCAGCCACAATTAATATTCATCATCTCCCCGCTCCCACTCCAACTCACCAATTCCAGATTTCTTTCATGACTGGGCAACGCTAAAGTTGGCCTGGACTGCTCTTCCTGAGAGCCTGGGCCCTTGACCGTCTCGCCACTACCCTACTTTGCTGGCTGTGATTGGCTATGCACCATTATCACTCAGCATGAAGGCACCAAGAGACACTCCAGCGCCCAAGTTTCAGATTAATCCTCCCTGCCTCATTATGCAACAGCCACTTTAGCTTCTCAGAATGGGGGTTGATTGCCAGCTCCAATACAGTAACTTTTCTTATCTGATAGTCCACTGGCAGGAGGAGCCCAAAGCAACCCAGCAATAGAGTCAATGGAAAACTTCTCATGTTAACCAGTGGAAGATTGCCCCCTGAGAATCAGGACCTCTGTTGCAATGAAGCCTGCTGCAGAAATGGGAAACACAGTTTCTCCAAAGAGCTGACTGGGGTGATGATGAAAGGGGCCAGTACTATTTCTACCTGTTGGTTACTCTGGCCCTGTGTGTTCCAACACAGCACTGTGTATCATCCGACAGTTTAGTGCATACACTACATCTTGGAGTATAGTGACCCAATCCACAGGGTGTCATCCCAAAGCTGGCTCCTTCCCTGGGCTTTAATAAGCCACTCCCACTTTCTACCCCTTGTTTACAAGTAATCCAATATATTAGAAGACCCTTTTTTTTTTTTTTTACAAGACCATTGTCATGATCCTTTATCATAAAATAGACACTTGAGCTGAGAGTTTATTATGCAGGATCCCATGCTGATAAATTAGACACTCTATAAACCACTGGTGAAGCACAACAAGAAATGAAGATAAATCAGAAAAGGTGTCCATCTTTTCTTTGTCAATAAGGACAAACTGCTGCGCGCTCAGGGTGGAAGGAATCTGATGTCATTAACTTATCACCAAGTGCTAGGGCAGTCCCATCAAGGAATGGCACCATAACCAGGATCCAGTCTCTCTGCTGCATTCAGCAGCAGTGGCAGGTAAATAAGCCTTGGTGAGAGGGAGTCCCTGTGGTTGGGCTTTCATCTCTGCCTTGTTCCTGCTGCAATCATGGGCCCAAGCTTTTAGTTGGTTGAGAATTGAAACTGACTGATATTCACCAGACAAATCCTTCTTCCTACCTGCTCATTGAGTGCCCCCTGCACAGCAGATGCTCTCTGATGGGCATTGACAGGAGGCATAAAGCTCTGCACAGTCTAGTCCCACTCCCATTAGTCCATCCACATGCATCTCCCCTATACTTCCTTCTCCAATATTCCAGTCTCGCTTCACCCAGGCCTGTGACCTCCCAAGTGAGTTGCTCTCCAGTGCCTAGAAGTCCATATGTACTCTTGCCTCAGGCCATGCCTCCCTACATGCAAAGTGGATGACCAAGTGTACTGCCCAAGTCTTCCCCCTAGGAGGAATTCCCTCTCCACTCAGCTTAAGAACCTCTCCTGAGTGGGTGTGTAGTACAGCTGGAATTCATTTTTGTTTCACACCACCGTATCCAGCCAACTCCTGCGTACATCAAGCTCAGATTTTTTCCTCCTACAGCAGTGGTGATATGGGACACTCCCACAGGAAGGAGGTTGGAGCAACAGGGGTAGATGACAGAGTTTGAATTGTGTCTTCATGTAGTTTACTTGTGCCTTTTGCACCTGTCTGTATCCAACACCAAGTCATTGTCATCATACTATGAATTGCTAGTTTCTGACTGGTGAACTGGTAAATATAAAACGCCCAGTTCATGCCTGGGTGAATTTATGACTGGTGTCCCAGATTCCTACGGGCAGATCTAGTCACACAGTGTCTTGATGTCCCACATCAGGTATTCCAGCTCTCTTAGGGCCCACAAGCATACTATAAGCTCTCTCTTTGGAAATACGAGTAGTTCTCTGCTGCAGAAGGCAGAGTCCAGCTCCAAACCTAAAAGGTCCACATGACTTTCCAGAGACTCAGCACAGGGCTGTTATCTAACACAGATACCTCCGGCACTATTGGACTTTCAGGTCATCAAACCCAAGAGTCGGGGCAGCCAGCACCTCAGCTTCAATCCCACTGAAGATGCCTTTCTTGGCTTAGTCCACTTATAACTTAAATAAATGGTATAACATCTGGCCTCATATAATAAATATATTTCAACCTACGTCTCTGAGCCTCCTGACTCTCAAACAACTGCCAAGGTAGTTTCTTTCTTAGGTTGGGTTTGCAGAAGTAGACACTGAAACAAATATTCATATTCAAGTGATTTATTAAGAAAATGCCCAATGGTGTGATAGTAAATGAGTAACAACTGGCTCTATGGAAAGAAAATAAATAAGCTTGACAAATAAATCAAGCATTCAACAATTTCCACAAATACTCTATAGTGAGTACTTCCACCATGACCACTTTAAAGCTACCAACAGGATATCTCTGAACATGGAGTTGGGAAGAGTTGCTAACAATCAACTCTTGGAACTGGCCAGTGTCAGCACATCACTGAAATGCTGCTAGGGAGACAAGTAAAGGAGTGGGTGTAGGAGGACAAGAAAAAAAAGGAAGTCAAGCAAGAGAGTGATTTCAGGCAAAGTCTCATAGAGGTTAGAGTCAACACCATCCTACAAGGAAACTCTGGAGTACAAGCTACACCTCAACGTTGTCTACACGCAAGGCAAAAATGCCTCACTCTCTCGCTCCTGCACTGTCAGGCTTAGGCAAGGGCCATCCCAGCGTGGAGGTAGATCCTAGGTACCTATGGCTCTTTTTAAAGGTGAGAAAATTGGTTCCAGCTGTGTGAAGGCAGAGAAGAGGTGCAGGTGCTTGAGTTTTGGGGGCCCTTGGAATATTCTGACTGATGAGTGTTTTTGTATGCCTGGGTCCTTGGGAGAGGCTGTATCAGTTTGACCAGGTAAGTTTACCCTAATAAAATGACTTATGATGAACTCTTAGTTTTGCTCTGGGGGTAGGGGGAGAAGGAGTTATTGGGGCAGCTGAGGCCAGTTACACAGGCTTTGCATGTCTTCATGACTGACTCCTCATTAAGAGCTTTGGACACCAAGGCTTGGGTGAGCTTCTCCAACTGGCAACACCACCATGTGTTGTCACACACTGTTGCTGGGTGAATGAAGTGAGTCCTCATGCAACTCCACTGGGAGGGTTCACCTGGAAGCTTGTGGTTTCTCCTGGCTTTGCCCCAAAGCCTTTCTTCTTTGCTGACTTTACTTTGTATCCTTTCACTGTAATAAGAGATAATGGTGAGTATAACAGCCATCTCTGAGACCTGTGAGTTATTCTAGTGAATCACGGAGACTGAGCTGGATCTTGGAGACACTGACACAGAATCCTTTCACCATAATAAATTACAGTCATAAATACAACTCTGTGCTGAACCCTGTGAGTCCTCCTAGTGAATCATCAAATCTAGGGATGGTTTGGGGGACCCCCGACTCTCCATTTCCTAAACTGCTGATAAAGAAGGATTTCTGTGTCATCCTGCTACCTAGAGAAAGGAAAGTATCTGATCCCTGATCATCTTCTCCATAGAACTACCTTGTCTCACCTGGTCCTCATTGGCATGCCGTTACCTCTACTCATGTTTGCCATCCCGGAGTTATCTCTCTACTCACCTGGCTCATGTACTTTGCATCTTCCTCACCCAAACATTGAAGCCCATTTGGGTCCACCTGTCCTCTTATCCCTTTAATCAGCCTCATGGGCAGCCCTGAACTTTCTATGGCATTTTCTGACACCAAGCTAAGGAAATGAAAGGCTGTGAGGGCCCTGCCTTTAGGACCATTAGCGTTTGTTGACTGGCCCACCTCTGGCTCCATGCTGGAAGCAGAGCACCTGCAGGACCCCCACAGACTTCCCTGGGGCTTCTATTGCCCCAGCTCTTCCTATATGCTGCCTTTTATTATTTACATCATTATAAATATTTGTGGCTTCAGAAAGAATGTGATTTTCTTTCTAAAGTTACCTGAGTAACTCTCTCTTAATACTTACTTGAATTAACTGCCCATCTATTTTCAGATTTAACTGTTTAAAAGTTCTTAGTAAGTGATACCTCAAATTAAAAGCTCTTACGATTATACAGATTGCAGCATACAGCCATGCAACTATAAATAGATATAGTAGAATTTCAACTTACAAAGCACTTTGGAGGCCCAGGCAAGCGGATCACCTGAGCTCAGGAGTTCGAGACCAGCCTGGCCAACATGGTGAAACCCTGTCTCTACTAACAATACAAAAATTAGCCAGGCATGGTGGCAGGTGCCTGTAATCCCAGCTACTCAGGAGATTGAGGCAGGAGAATTGCTGGAACCTGGGAGGCAGAGGTTGCAGTGAACTGAGATTGCGCCATTGCACTCCAGCCTGGGTGAGAAGAGCGAGACTCTGTCTCAACAACAATAACAACAAAAACAAAAAACCAGAAATTTACTTCTCACAGTGTGGAGACTAGGCAGTCCAAGATCAAGGTGCCAGCACCATTCAGTGCCTGGTGAAGGTCTGCTTCCTAGTTCATAGATGTTGGTCTTCTCACTGTATCCTCACTTGGTGGAAGGGGCTTCTCAGGCCTCTTTTATAAAGGGGGCTAATCCCATTTCCACCCTCATGACCTAATCACCTCCCAAAGGCCCCACCTCCTAATACCATCACTTTGGGATTTAGTTTGCAACATACTAATCTGGAGGAGACACAAACATTCAGTCCATAGCAGGAGTGATTAGATTGCAATGTGGTTATTCAGATGGGCTTCTGAAGATGAAGCCACCCTCTGTGAGTGTGAGAGTAGGGATGGACCATCAATTGGTGAGGCCATTCAAGGTGCTAGTCATCTGGATATGAAGCTTGTCTCTCAGAATAGAAATGAGCTTCTTCACCTCTTGACTTTGGGCATTGTCAGGATATCTGGGAAAGAAATCCTGTAGTAAGTCCACATTTTGGAATCAGAGTATAGATATCTGCAGATGGCCAGTGGAATGGTGCAGGGTCCCGGGCCCTGCATTTATACATTTCATGTGACAACTCTCTTTATTTTCCTGAATCTTTCCTCTAAAATTAATGAAGCTAGCCCTTCCTAGCTGCACTAGAGGAACACAGGGATTATGCTAAAGGGAATGTTAAACACAGAATATTAAAGGGAAACCATTGCTCCTTGGGGTAAAACATGGTGGTGGCAGTGGGGATGGAAACTAAGAGGAAAGGGTGGGTTTTAGGAGCACATTCGTTCTAGCTAGCAGAATTTTTTTTCCCCCAGAGTTTTACTGTGGAGATAATGGACCATGTTTTAGCCTGGGAAGTGGTTTCTCTTTATAACTTTCCATCTCTGCTGCAACAAGGGATTTTTCCTTCCAGGTTTCATTCTCTGAGGACATAGACTCCCAGGTCCCTTTTCCTCATTTTGCCATGGTGGGTCCTTGGTCCTAGGTCCTGGTTTTGGGTTTCTTCATTGCTTGTTTGCTTACTGAAGAGTAGCCAGACCCCTAATTCCAGGACCACTGGCCTCACATCTTCACATCTGAAGCTTCCAGCCTTCTGAGGTTACACTTTCCTTTAAAATCCAGATAGACTATCTCTAGCTTGTCTCTGTTCATCTGGGGAAGTCTAGTATGCTCACTGACATGCCCAGGGATTCTCGGGAAGGGGCCTGCCCTCCTGGTCTCCTCTGCATGTGCATTCCTGCTCCTAACTTCTCAGTCTCCAACAAGCTGCCAGGGTTGCCATCCTCCTACTCCACTTTATCCCACAAAGTGTCCCACTGTGGACAGTGCCCCACCTTCTGCATACCCTAAGCACCATTCATAGGAGGTGGTGGTATATACACACCAGACTTTTTCTGAAAGTTTGGAGGTAATAGAGCAGCACCAAGGAGCAGGAACCAACTTAAAATAGAACATTAGACATCCCCATTCCTCGAGTTCCTTGGCCATTCCTACCCTCAGAATTTCTCACCTTTCCTTCTTAGAGTCTAGCTTTCTACCATTTCATCTTCTTCTTACTCAAGCTTTTCTCCTGTATCCTCTCTTCTCCCAGTTCCAATCTTACCCCTACCACTCATCATTTAGCTACAAGAAGATAACTCCTGAATTCCTGTTGCTCCTCTGTGCAGAGCAATCCAGTTTCCTTGTTGCAGCTCTTCTCTGCAGATGAACTGGGACCCTTCCTGTCATAACCAAAGGGCCATGAGTCAGCTTTCAAGGAAAAAGTACCAGTTCCTCTGAGATGAATTCGGCCTGCCTGGTTATCTATGGTGTAAAACAAAAACCGTTTCATAGTGTTCAGATTCTCTGGGTCAGGTCAGGGCAGAACGAGGATGAGCTGTCTGTCCTTTGTGATGTCTAGGGCTCAGCTGGAAGGCTCAAGCAGTTGGGGATGACTTAAAGGGCTAGGGGCTGTAATCATCTGAAGGCTTCTTCAGTCCTATATCTGGTGTCTGGCTGTGGGGACTTGAAGGCTGGCCTCAGCTGGGACTGTCAATTGAAGCACCCACATATGACCTTTCCTTGTAGCTTGGGCTTTCTCACAGCATGGCAGCATCACAGTAGTCAGACTTCTAACATGTTAGCTCAGGGGTCCAGTGAACAGGGGATGTTGAAGGGCCTTTCATTACTTAACCTCAGAAGTTACAGAGCATCCAGATTAAAGGGGAGGTAACACAGATCTTGCTTCTTAACGAGAGGAATGGCAAAGATTTTGTGGCCATGCTTTAACAGTGCCACACATCCTCCTCCTACAGATTGCTGACGCACCGTTCCTGTCATTGATAAGGGTCAAAAGGTCCTACCTCTATAGCTTTGTTGGGCTCTTCCATCTGCCTAGCCCAGAGTTCTCCTAAGGATGTCTGGGGTGTAGCTTCTCTACAGCTTTCAGCCTTGGTTCAGGACACCTGGCCTTGGACTTCGTGTTTGTACTTCTAGAGGGTATCAGGATTTGGAAGCGGAGGCTATAAGAGACAGTAGCAGGTTTACTGGCTCTTGTAGCTACTGTGGTCTCACCAAGGCAGGCTGCAGGGGACTGGCAGCCAGTGCCTAAATGTCAGCCTCAGGAGGCCTCTGTGACTGCTGGTTCTGAGCCAGCATGGGTTGGGGTGGGGGAGCCAGTCCTTTGGAGAAGGGACATCCTTAGGACTTGTTTTATGACATATGGGTCAGGAGCAGTAGCCTCTGGTCCTGCAGTTTCTGTGGGAGACCCCGAAAACTCCCACACATTCTCCAGAGGGGGAAGCTTACCTCTGACCCCTACCCCTAAACAATGAAATAAGGCTTCACACAGTTGCAGTAAGTTGATTCTGGAGTTCCAATCCACTACTGCTGAGGTCATGGGTGTACCAAGAGCCTTACCATCAAGATGTGGTTCAGGAATACTGGCTTTTTGGGGGAGTCAGTCCTTGCACACCAGTCTGTAAACTCCACAAGAGACAGTAACAGTGTCTACCTGGTACATAAAGCATTTTGCTCAGTAACTGGCCCTTGGTAAATATTGGTTAATGATGCATTTGAGTAGCTCCATGAACAAGTTGAGTACTTTAGTGGTTATAGATATGGCCGTATTGCACAGAAGTGGCAAACATAAAAGCTATAAGGCATGTAAGTGAGAAAAGCTGGCCGGTTAGGGGCAGAGGCTTATAGAACAACATATTCCCTGCTCCCGGTGCAGAGGACAGCCACTTCTGCGCTCTATGCCTGCCATGCTGAAGACAGGCCCAGCACTGGCAGACATTCTTAGTTTTCAAGAGAGGATAAAAAGCTAGCTCTATTAAATCTCCCAATTTTTAAGTGTTGTCAATTTATTCAATGAAAAGTATTTTTTTCCCCTGTGATTGCGGGCTGGATGCAACAGGTGCACTGCCAGTTGCAACCTCTGTAACCCATAGGGTTAACTCTAGTTCACAGGAGTTGTCAGGATCCTTGGATTAGTGTAGCGCAAATCCTACCTTCCCCTCCTCGCACTCCAATCTCTTGGGAACGTCGGCACCTTCACCCCGACCCTGACCCTGGCGTGAAGTTAGCCAGCCACCCCACAGCAACTGCCCGAAAGGTCCTTCTTAGGCTCTTGTGACCTCTGCAAGGAGATTATACCTGTAAATCCCTAAAGCCATCAGCCTAAGGTGGGGGAAGGGAAGGGACTAGGGGCCCCTGGCAGACAAAAAGGTGCGAGCTGGCTCTCCCTGCCCCACCCCGCCCCACCCAGGCGTGCCTTCTCGCCATAGCCTTCCCTGGGTCACTGTCAGACAAACTCTCCCCCGGCTGAGCCAAGACACCCGGACGTTTCACAAAGGATTTTCAGTAGTAATGAAGAGAAAGCACAAAGGGACATAAACAGAACGAGGTGGCCTAGAAATGGGAGTGTTTACAGAGCTTGGTCTTCGGAACCCAAGAGGGCCGTAATAGACCAGATAGCAGGGCCGAGGAGGGAATCCACCCATGAGAGAGGGAGGGAGTACTGGATTTCCATTCTCAGCAAGGAGGGAGGCAGTTTGAAGAGAGGAGGGGACGGTGGTTTCAAGACTTCCACCCGGGGGAAGAAGGGGCGGGGAGACGGCGAGAACCTAGGAAACTGGGGGATGGCTATTTCCATTCCTGAGAAGGGGGGAACTTGATTGTGGAGACTGGCTGAAGACTCCCACACCGGAAAGGAGGGCGCCTCTGCAGAAGGGCCCCGAGTGGCGAGAGCAGATCCGGGACTCCCAACCTAGCAGGAGCCGGAGCAGCCTCTTAGCAAACCTTGTCCCGGGAAGGTTTGAAAGAAGCGGTGCCCTAGTGACGCCGGAAAAGAAGGAGCGGTTGTCATGGCGACGCGGAGCACACCTCGGAAATAAATAAATAAGCAGCCCAGGCTGCCGCAGCCGCGCCCCCGCGGGACCCGAGCGTGGGGGAGGGGGCCTCACGGGCCCGGGTCCCCGCAGTCGCGCGTCCCCGCCATTGGCAGAGCCGGGGGGGGGTCACCCCCCGGGGGGCGAATGGTACAGTCCTCCGCCCGCGCCCCGGCCCGGCCCGCAGCTAGCTAGCCAGCCCGGAGCCCAGCGCCTCCGCCGCTGCCGCCGCGGCCGCCCGCGGAGTCCCAAGCGGAGCCAGAGGCGGCGATGGAGGGAGTCAGCAGCCACCGTACCCTGTCCTACAGCCGCTGGAGCTATGACAGGTAGGGCGCCCGAAGGGTGGCCCTGCGTGAGCGCCTGCTGACCTTCGCTCTCCTGCGGGAGAAGTGGGCCTCCGGGGGCGAGGACCGGCGCGAGCGCCCGACTCGCAGGGTGGGCTGGGGCACCCGAACCCTCGGGCATCCGGGACCCAGAGCCTCGGGTACGTGCAGCGGAGCTCAGACGAGGGTAGTGTCCCCACACCCACGGGACAGAGCTGTCGGAGGAGGGCACGCAGCCACTGGGACTAGAGAGCTGTCACCTCTGCCCCCACCCCGGCTGCCCCGCCAGGGTCGCTCCGCCGGGGGACCCCGAGAAAGAGCGCTGAAGGGGGCGCCGGGAGGGACGCGGCAGGGGCCGGGGTGGGCCTCTGGCGGGCGGGGCGAGGAGGGGCGCCTTCGGCTCTGGGATGCGGCCGCCGGGGTTTACGTCCGGCTGGCCCTCCGCAGGGACCGAGGCTGGCCCCGGGCGGAGTGCCCCGCTGGCTGCCCGGTACACGCGAGCCGCTGCCTGTTCCGCTGGGCGAGATGGCAGCCCCGGCCGGCTGTCGGGGCGCAGGAGCGGCGCCCTCGTGTTGCCAGGCTCAGCGCCCGCCCCACGGGAATGGCGAGCGGCTGCCGGCGTGGGAGGTTTGGAGCTGCGCTCCCCACGCACTCGTCCTGGAGGAAGGAGTCATCCTCCCTGGCGAAATGAAAAAAATAAGAACGGAGTGAGTTGGTCATAAATCCGAGTAGATTTATTCCTAGGTGATGCCCGTTCTACCTTTTGTTGGTGTGTTAAATGCCACCCCTCCATTTAAAATAAAACCATGATGATAGTAGATAGTAGTTTTTTTGTTTTTAAGTTTCGTACCGCATATCGATCTGCAGAATTCTGGAGTTAAATTTCCTGACCCATGACCCTAGATGGTGAGGGCTGGAAGAGAAATTTCATTTACTGGGCTGCTCTCATCTCCATGACGTCCTGTTCCTGTGCTCTCCTTCCCTTCACTCTGCCAAAAACCTCCCCGCAACTTTGACAGCCCTTGTTTGCCTAGATTCAGAGGAACAGGTGTCCCTTCTGCCTAAGGCTAGTTCCCCTAGGACCCCTCCTCACCTTCCGTGAGTCTCGCCCCGTATTAATCCCATCTGTCTCCTCCATCTGCACCTTCACCTCTTTACTGGTGATCTCTCTCCAGCCTGTAAACTTATTAAGGTTTGTCTTGTCTCCTTCCTCGAGATGGGCCCAACTGATCCACGTCTGTTTTTTTTCCTTTCATTGCCTTCTTTGGGGAAATATATCGTCTGAATTGGTTAATTCTGTTTCTTCATCAACCCTTCCTTGCACAGCCCCAGCAAATCTCCTGTCCACCTCATGAATCCAGTGCATCTCCCTTTTTGAAAAGTGGTGCTCTCCACGGAGAAGAACTCTAACATTGCTGGAATATTAAACTTAAAATAACAAAACCTACAAATTTTGGTTCAGATCCCAAATCCACACATTCATTCATTTATTCAACAAACATGTATGGAGTGCGAACTATATCCTGGGCCCTGGAAATAAGGCGATAAAAAGACAAAATTTCCTCCCGGAGATGAGCTCACAGTTTAGATTCTGTTAGAAATAAGCGGGCCGGGTGCGGTCGCTCACGCCTGTAATCCCAGCACTTTGGGAGGCCGAAGCGGGTGGATCATGAGGTCAGGAGATGGAGACCACGGTGAAACCCCATCTCTACTAAAAATACGAAAAATTAGCAGGGCGTGGTGGTGGGCGCCTGTAGTCCCAGCTACTCGGAAGGCTGAGGCAGGAGAATGGCGTGAACCTGGGAGGCAGAGCTTGCAGTCAACCGAGATCGCCCCACTGCACTCCAGCTCCGTCTCAAAAAACAAAAACAAAAACAAAAAACAAACAAAAAACAGTGGCATATTCCAAAGGTCTAATACATACATGGGAGAAAAACTTAAAGTTGAGCTAATTCCATATAGTAAACAATTTTTCCCTGCAAAAGCAAACATATAAAAGCAGAAAGACTTTGGAATTAGATAACCTGCGTTCAAATCCTGACTCTGCCTAGCTAACTTTGGACAAATTATTTCTCCCTGGGCCACAGTTTCTTGGGGAAGTGTTATGAGTATTAAATGAGGTAATAGGCCTGGTGCAGTGGCTCATGCCTGTAATCCTAGTAGTTTGGGAAGCCGAGATGGGCAGATTGCTTGAGATCAGGAGTTTGAGACCAGCCTGGCCAACATGGTGAAACCCATGTGTACTAAAAATACAAAAAAAACCATTAGCCAGGCATGGAGGTGCACACCTGTAATCCCAGCTACTTGGGAGGCTGAGGCAGAAGGATCGCTTGAGCCCAGGAGCTGGAGGTTGCAGTGAGCCAAAGTTGTGCCTGGACGACAGAGCTAGACTCTGACTCAAAAAGAAAAATAAATAAATGACGTAATAAATATAAAGGGCTTATCATATTGCCTGGGACTTAGTAATCATGCAATAAGTGGTATAAATTGCTGTTTTATTAATGCATATTGTAAACGTTTCTGGAACTCTAGTCTTCCATAGAAGCTTAGTTTGAAAATCTTGGCTGGATGCAGTGGCTCACGCCTGTAATCCCAGCACTTTGGGAGGCTGAGACAGGCAGATCACGAGGACAGGAGATCGAGACCATCCTGGCTAACACGGTGAAACCCCGTCTCTACTAAAAATACAAAAAAGTTATCTGGGTGTGGTGGCAGACACCTGTAGTCCCAGCTACGGGGGAGGCTGAGGCAGGAGAATGGCGTGAACCCAGGAGGTGGAGCTTGCAGTGAGACGAGATCTCGCCACTGCACTCCAGCCTGGGCGACAGAGCGAGACTGTCTCAAAAAAAAAAAAAAAAAAAGAAAGAAAGAAAGAAAAGAAAATTATTTTTCTGCTTTCAGACCCCTACATAAAGACATTTTCTGGGTTTCTGTCTTCAGTACTCTTTTCTTCTCACTCGGATAATCTCAATACCTGGGGAGCTATGTGAAGAAAACAACTCGCCTGGCCCTTGTCCAAACTAACTGAATCAGAATATCCGGGGGTAGAACCCTGGGCTCAATGTTTGTTTAAAACTTCCCAGGTGATTGTGATGCAGCTGGTTTGGCTACTCTCCAAAACCACTCGTTCATACCACTTCCTCTATTTCCTAATCAGTACTTTTTTTTAAGACATAAAAATTGAATTATTCAAACAATTACAAAATAATCAAGCTGTTAAAACCATTACACAAGCAACACATACGTTGGGTACACCGTATTAAAAGTGAAAATCTGTGTTCTGCTGCCCTCATCCCCATCCTGACTCTACAAGGAATCATTGTTAATAGTTAACTTTCACTTTCCAGCACTGTTCTCTGGTTTCTGCCCCCCTCACATCTTTGAACCTGGAAAACACCTCTCCTTCAAGTCCTCATCCAAATTGACCTCTCCTCCATGTGTTTATGTAAGCTGTTGTCCCCCTTGCTTCTGGGCCATGTGTGTATCAGTTATCTATTGCCATGTTAACAAGTCACTCCTAAACTTAGTGACTTAAAATAACAACTGTTTTGGCCGGGCGTGGTGGCTCACACCTGTAATCCCAGCACTTTGGGAGCCTGAAGTGGGCAGATTACCTTAAGTCAGGAGTTCGAAACCAGCCTGGCCAATATGGTGAAACCCCGTCTCTACTAAAAATACAAAACTTAGCCGGTTGTGGTGGCACACACCTGTAATCCCAGCTACTTGGGAGGCTGAGGCAGGAGAATTGGTGGAACCCGAGAGGCGGAGGTTGCAGTGAGTGTAGTAGAGATCATGCCACTGTATTCCAGACTGGCCAACAGAGCGAGACACTGTCTCAAAAACAAACCACACACACAAAACACACAAACAAAAACAAAACAACAACAGAAAAAACAACTGTTTGAGTTAGCACAATATTCTGTGGATCAGCAGTTTGGGCTGGGCTTAGCTGGGCAGTTTTGTGGTCTGGGCCAGGCTCAGCTTTTCTGGGTTGGGCTTGCTCACATATCTGGTGCTCTGGCTGGGAAGCCTAGAGCAGCTGGGCCCTCTCCCTATATGCCTTCTCCTCTTGCAGCAGGCTCACTCAGGTTTGCACACATGGTGGTGGAAGGGAGTCCAGTGAGAGAGCAGAAGCTGCAGGGTCTCTTGAGGCCTAGGTTTAGAACTTGCACATCACTCGCCACATTGTAGTAGTCAAAGTAAGTCAAAATGCCAGCCCACATTTCAGGGGTGGGGAAATAGGCCTTACCTCTTGAAGGCAGGAGCTGAAAACCTATGGCCACTTTTCCAACCTACCAAAATATGATGCCTACATTTTTTAAATTTCTGGCTCCTCTTAGGTCCCCACTGTCCACCTCTGAGCACGTGCCAAAGTGCTCGTCTTTTCCATTTCACTCTGTTCCATTCTATTTTCAGGCTACACCCTGGTCTCAGTTATCAACACAATGCTTCTAACACAGCAATCTATATCTTCAACTGCAGCCTTTTTTGCCAAGACTTAGTCCCACATCTCTAAATGCCTGTAGACTTCTCCATCTAGATATTCAGCCAACAGCTTTAACGCAATAGGTTCAAAATCAGACCCTTCACTGATAATTGTATTCTCTAGCCAGCATCCGCAAGCCAAATGGACTCCTCAAAACTTGGACATTGACCTTGAACTCTCCAAATCTTATCTATACCACTGATTGTTATGAAGATAAAAGCAAAAGATCTATGTAAAATGACTGGCATAAAGTAGGTATCATCGAGTCCATTGTTTTCCACAGCTTGGCACCCCATTAACCATTTTGTCTCCACTCAAGCTTCAGTCGTTATCCTCAAAGGCTTCAGTGCCTTTATCAGTGACCAAACTAGCACTTTTCACTCACAGTTTCTGAACCTTCCCAATCTAGACACTTCTCTTCAGTTATTCACAGGATAAATTCCTAGATGATGACAGCTGGAATTGCTTCACTTCTAATCTCATACACATGAATTGCCAACTCTCTGACCTCAGGCAT